CCCCAAAACCCCAAAACCCCAAAACCCCTAGAATAAGATAGTTAAGTCATGATTGAGGATTAAAGATAAACTTATATTAATATAAAAAGAAAGGACTAAATGGATTGATCTTAATTAAAATGGACATATCTATCTATAATTAGTAATACATATTTAAATTATATTCAAATATTCTATGTATAATTTGAAGAACTTAAATATTCCCCGTTAAGTTATTTAATCGTTGATTTTAGCATAGTTAGCTAAGTATAATTTATGGAGCCATCGTAAGGCTCAACCCTTATTGAAGATAGAAGATTGTGGTCCACTCGATCCTCATCTATATCTATTATGATAATTTCGTCAAGTGTCCTGCTATAAAGCAGCTAAGATACATCTTTAACAAAATAGCCATCAACACTCTATATCAGATTTTCTTTTGTAAATATATAACTAAATAGGATTTTTAATTCCGGAATCTTCTCTAATATACAGTCTACACATTCTTTAGGCAATATTGTAAATAGTATAAGTTCACAATATGCTTAGAGATCTCTTAAGCATTTCACAAGAGGTTATTGAAGATATTTAATTAGCATCTAATGGTATTAAACTATAATTTATTGTTACAATTTCAGAAGTTTTCTTGTCATAGGTTATCTCCTATATTGTAATATCTTGCAAAAAAAAATTCTCGTTGGTAGTATCAACTATTTTTATCAATACATCAATCAACTCGAAGATTAAGGTGAACTTTCCTATTTAATAGTATGATTAAAAAAATTGAGCTTACTTTGAGTAATTTTTGGATATGGAGGTTCTTCTAGACATTTTGTCTCCTCAATAACTGAATATAGGACCTTAAAATCTTAAGTTATTTCGAGCTAGTTTCTGAATACCTTACGCATGTCAATATCTAATTTACTCTCTACCCAGCTATGATCCTCATTTGTACCTGCATTAAAGCTATTACCTCTGTCCCTAGAGTTTTTTTCCCTTGGATCATGTGAAAAATTAAGATTAAGGACTGAAAGTTATTGACCGTTCTCTAGAAAGAGAGCTTATTTATTCTTACTGCACAAATTGGTCTGTCTGGTAGCGTTGACAAACATAGGCGTATCCATTCGCTATAAAGAGTGCTAATGACCATAGACATTCTAATTATTACCAGATTCTATTTTGTTAACCATCTCGTTTTAGTTCTCTGAGACTATAGCAACAAGATCTCTGTCAAAAGGATTTTCATTGGCATCCTATTTTAACTCTTCATTTTAAGATTACGAAAAGTTATTCTAAGAGGTTAAAATGGGGCCTCCATCCTTCTTTTGTGAATAATCGTAGGATCCAATTTCTTTGTTATAAGATGCTTCAACAATTTGATCCATATTTTTGTTTTGTTTTATGACTTTCAAATTTTTTTGTTCCTCACGTTGAAGTCTTAATAATTCTTCTTATCGATAAATGTCCTCATCCTGGTCATTAATTTTGATTGTGAATATAAAGTTTTCTTTAAACCCTCTATCTTAGTTCTAATCATCGTACTACTATAAATCTTCCTCTTCCTCAATGAGAAAGGGATCCTCAGCTTGGGCTTTTTATTCCTCTTCAAGCTTTTAATTTTATGCAAAACCCTTTGGTAATAGACTCTATGAAGAATTGCCAGTTATTTTTAGCAATAAATTTTTCTGAAAATATAAAGAATCTGCATTTCACTGATTGAGAAAGCAGGATTCAAAGTTATTTGTATTGTCGAATGAAAGGATTTTTTCAAGAGTTTTGTAGTTTATTTTGCCTTTTTTCTGAACCAGTGGATTGCGAACAGTCTGCGCAGACTTGTGACCATTGTAGAGGTCCATTTTCTCCGAAATAGTGGTGGAATCGTACTCTTCGAAGCTTTGAGAGGTTCGTTTTTTAATCAATCGTTGACGATTTTGACCTGCGATTTGCTTATTACTAGGACTTGTATTATCTTCCATCGATATAATTTAAATATTGTTTTAATTATAGCTATATTATTTTCAGAAATAAAGATAACAGCAATCTATCTACGTATTCTATTATTTTGGGGTTTTGGGGTTTTGGGGTTTTGGGG